CCTTCAGACCGATGACATCTATGATCTCGGTTAGTGCAACAATATAATACCTCCCATTCAATTTGCCGAATGTCTATAGTGGCATATCGATCAGGCGTTGTACAAGGTAGACTCACTGTTGTTGATGATACCCTTTGCTTTTAATTTCCAAAAGGGCTGTATCTCTGTAATGTTGCTTTGTCATCAGAAGTGGGCTATCTATGTATAAGGCACAGACCATCAAGCTCATATTGCATTTGATGAATACAACTTTGTTTTGCATCAGTTCTTTGCAGTGTCTATCCATATATAGAATTTATTGTGACCAATCATTGGATGTATGGGTTGCATTCCAATTTTTCAGTCAATAATTTCAGAGGTGTTCTCACCTGATCAGTAGCTACACAGTCCAGATACTGCAACTGCTCCAAGGAAGCATCATTCATCAGCAAAACATTTGCCTCAGAGATGCAGCTGTTTCACAATGTTATTGTTCTCTGATTGTGCACAAGCTTTTTTGAAAATAAATGGTACCATAATTGCTTGCAAAGTGCATACACGCACTTGAAAGTTGTGTTGTTTAACTTTCATTTCCAAGGCACAGACATAAACTGCTAACACAACAGAAATGCACCCACTTATCCTGAGACGCATGGTAACATTGCATCACTACTCTCACATATTTCTTACTGGCCACTCCACGTTATGACCACTTGTGCATTGCAAATGTACTGAGGCAATACTCCAAGTGATCACTTAGTTTGGACCAGGGCCATGAACCTTTTGAGGCGCAGGGCTAACTTGCAAGAAGCTAACATGGCAGGGGTTGCACGGCAAAGCAGGAAGGGGGAATGGCTTTGCAAGCATATATTTAAAAATTTCGCGAGAAGTGACAAAACAAACAAAACTTGTATAGAAATCATGATTATTTTAAGATCATAGGTCAGAAAGTTGCAATTTATGAACCTATGTTACAAGCAAAAAATAAAAAAAAACCTAATACGACTTATGGTGCTCAACATTATTATTCAACTCGCAAAAACCTACATCAAGGTTGCTCACTGCCAGACCAATGGGTCTGTGGAAGTGTTGATCGATTAGTCAGGAACGCTAGTTTGAATCGATGAATTTCACATTCTCAGGAAAGTCTAGCTGTTCGCAGATGCATGTACTGTCAAACACTGTTATCATGGCTGTCTCTTCAAACTCTGAAAACTTGTGAGGCCAGCACTAAAGTTTCCTGTGTCTTTCGCCCCTAAAACATCTTTGAACATATCCTCTGTCTACAAATCAGCCGGTTCTAACTGGTACAATCCAAACTTTATATGATTTCTATAGAATGAAATGCTTATACTAGAATGTTTTTGAAACTCAGAAAGCCCAACTTTCAACCTCCTCTCTAAGCTTTGTAATATTTGACAGAGAAACTTTCTGTGGCAAGTGGGGCACTCATATTTCCCACAATACTTTTGCATTGAGGTATGTACATGACAAAAATTTACTCACTAGCCTGTTGTTGGAAGAGGTCGAGCTTTGATGACCATGCCTGACACGCGTTTTCCTTTCCTGTGAGGAAGGTTTTTATTATTTTTTTTGTACCTACATAGAGAAAGAAAGTGAAAACGTTGTTTCGCTGAATGTGAAGACGGGAGCAAGAAAGATCGCTTCCAGATGACATATTGTTATGTCATCTAGAAGCGATCTTCCTTAGCTTTTATCTAATATCATGTGAGGTCAAGCCTTCAAGGGGCCTTTCAATACTTTTTGAGCATGGTCAGAAAACGCTGCCGATCGGTAGTAGAGGCTCCCGACAACACGCGAGCCAAATATTATAACACAGCATGCGGCCTGGAATTCACAATAAAATATCAAAGTCAGCTAAAAATTGCTTTCTCTTCCCTCGACAAATCACGAATCACACATCAACGACCTATCTATCAGCCATTGGCTAATTTGAACATGGCGCGCTCGCTCGTTACAGAGATCGCCACGGGAGGCCGCTACTTGTCCACGCGTGCGAAGGTAGTGAGCTTAGAATGCAGAGGATGACGGGGTGCTGGGGGAACTGCATAATGGGTTTCGGAAACACAGGAGATCGGAAGACAATCTGTTCTCACTGACGCAGTGCATCGAAATAGCAGAAAAGGAACACATGCCCCTGTGGCTAGCATTTTTGGATATCAAGGGAGCGTACGATAGCGTGGTTCAAGAGGAATTGTGGGGAATACTGGACACACTAGGCGTGGAACATGTAGTCACTAATATTTTAAAGGGTATCTATAAAGGTAACAAGGTAGTTATAAAGTGGGAAAAACAGGTATCCAAGCCTGCAGAGGTAAAACGGGGGCTTAGGCAGGGGTGCCCCCTGTCACCCTTATTATTCATGATGTACCTACAAGGATTAGAGGCGAAATTAGAGGGAAGTGGACTGGGCTTCATCCTCTCTTTAGTCAAACAAGGAAAACTTATTGATCAGGCACTACCAGCATTAATGTACGCAGATGATATAGTGCTAATGGCCGACAACAAGGAAGATTTGCAAAGCAAGGTAGTGAGCTTTCCCGAATGAGGAGGTCACGCTAGAGATAACAGGTAAATACAAATATCTGGGCGTATGGACAAGCAATGGGACCGAGTACCTGAGGGAACACGAAATATACGTGACGACTAAAGGTAACAGGAATGCAGCAGTGATGAAAAATAGGGCACTGTGGAATTACAATAGGTATGAAGTTGTGAGAGGAATATGGAAAAAGGTCATGGTTCCTGGGCTGACGTTCGGCAATGCGGTCTTGTGCATGAGATCAGAAGTTCAAGCAAGATTAGAAATTAAGCAACGTGGAATAGGTAGGCTTGCTTTAGGAGCTCACGGGAATACACTAAATCAGGGAGTACAAGGTGATATGGGATGGACATCATTTGAGGGCAGGGAAGCTAGCAGCAAGATAAAATTTGAGAAGCGATTGAGAGAAACGGGGGAGGAGCGTTGGGCGAGGAAGGTATTCAGCTACTTGTACATGAAGAATGTCGATACAAAATGGAGGAAACGAACCAGGAAATTGACTGGTAAATACTTAGAAAACAGCAGGTGGCCAAACCAAAAAGAACTATCGGTTAAGAAGAAAGTGAAGGAAACGGAGACTGACATGTGGAGAATGGGCATGATTAAGAAGTCCGCACTCGAGATCTATCGAACTTTCAAGCAGGAAATTGCCAAGGAGAGGGTCTATGATAATACTCGGGGTAGTTCTCTACTGTTTGAGGCCAGGACGGGTGAACTGCGAACCAAGGCGTATCGGGCCAAATACGAAGGGGTAGACACAGTGTGCAGTCCGTGTGGAGAGGAAGAAGAAACTGCCGAACACTTGATAATGTTCTGTAAAGGGCCTCACCCTATACTTGATGATGGCGCAGAGTTTCTCAAAGCACTGGGGTTTAGGGACAGGGAGGGCAAAATAGACTTTAAGCGGGTAAACTTAACTAAAAGGAGGTTATCTGATTGGTGGCTAAAGTCAAAGCACGAGTGAAAATTAAACCCTTCACTGCAAAGTACGAATGCTCAAACTCACTTTTTAAAGAAAAAAAAATAAATCTAGTTTTTGGTTCATTAAGTATTACGGCTTGGTGGCGCTAGCCACCGCCCGATCTAAAGGGTACAGCCCTATCTATTCATCCACCCATTCATGCGCATGCGATCACACTGAGAAGCCACGCATTCGAAGGAAAAAAAAACGAAAAAAAAAGTGCTCAAGGTCGCGAGGCATGCGTGAGGTTTTTCTGTGGCCCTACCATCCCTTCCTACCTAGCTTCCAGCGCTTTCGTCTGGTCGAGAGAAGAGAGAATGCAATTGCAGCATGCGACAAACCTTTGTAACTCCACTCGCATTGGAAGGATTCTTAAAATTTTTCGCTGTGCTGAACTCGTGAGGCAATAAGCTCTTCCAGTGAATCCATTCCATGGTTACCTGAAAAAGTGTTTCAGGGCCCCTTCCAGGCAAGAAGTGGCAAGGAGAGAGGGGTGTTCTTATGTCTTGCTGCATGCGGCCCGCGGGACATACGTCGCCAGGGTGTACCGACATCTACTCGGCAAAACCATTTGCTCCCAGCACGGCACCACACCCAAGCCTTCAACGTAGTTCTTCGCTTCCTTGGGGAGTACTACTCGGTCATTGAAGCCATTTCTCTTCTTCTCCACATGTTAAATAATCTCTCCCTATTCCCCTACGGGCGCTGACCTGTGCTCGGCACTGCAGATATTCTTCAACCTTTCCTCCTTCTCTGCGGGTTGCCGGCCCAGCTGCTTTAGGCCATATGAAGAAAAATGCAGGGGCTACAGGGGTACTTTAATCGTGATCAGGGCCCATCCTTAGAATTATTCCGGATTAGGTGTATGTTCACTTTTTCCTGGTGTGGCACGGCCACTTTCGGTCGCTCCCAGGTAGGGCTCCCAGATAGCCATCTAACTGACATCGTGCCAAGCTCGATACGGCTTCATTGTGTTGACCGTGTACTAGGCTGCGATAGCAACATGCGGAGCCATATTTTGATTGCCTTTACTCACGTAAGCGCCCAACTCGATCTAAATCAAGAGGTCTGGTCGTGTGCGACAACGGCACAATCTAACGTGTTCATGACTGCAACTCGCCCACTTTTCCCTGACTGACGTGAGTGCAGGGATAAACCAACGGTACGTACATGCGTGCAATTTCGCACCGCTAACAAAAGGCAGCAGACAAAAACGCCACAACGCCTGAGGTCACGGTGTGCCGAACTGCGGCTACACTACAGTAAACCAAAATGCGAAACCGAAACAAAACAAACCTATATAGTTGATGATGATACCTAAGCAATTTGCATTACATTCGTTCATTAGATTAGCACTTGTTATTGTTAAATATCTTAATAAAACTTTGTTAAAAACTTTAATAATTTTTAGAACACAAAGAGTTTGGAGTACGCCTGCAAGAAGCTTTTGATCGGAAGTGTAGTGGTGTCAAAACTTCCGGGAACGTTATTCTTTGTTGTGTTGTTTGGGGCTGGGTTGATAGAGAGGCAGCCATCGAAATGGTGGTGTAACAACATTCTCGGCATCGTTTGACTTTAGGCTTATGTTGACGTAAGCCAGGATGAGTAATAACACGGCTCTTCAAAAAGCAATCGACCTGGTGACACGGGCCACCGAGGAGGACAAAAACAAGAACTACGCCGAAGCCCTGCGCCTCTACGAGCATGCGGTGGAGTACTTTCTTCATGCTATCAGGTACGAAGCACAGACTGATCGGGCGAAAGAAAGTATCAGATCCAAGTGTGTCCAGTACTTGGACAGGGCCGAGAAGCTTAAGGAATACCTGCGGAGCAAGACGAAAGAGAGGAAACCCGTGAAACAGGGTGAAAGCGATGACAAGAAGGAAGGCAACAGCTCCGACAGTGACGATGAGAATCCGGAGAAGAAAAAACTGATGAATCAATTAGAAGGAGCCATCGTCATGGAAAAGCCGAACGTCAAGTGGTCCGACGTCGCTGGACTGCACGCGGCCAAGGAAGCCCTGAAGGAGGCTGTCATACTGCCCATCAAGTTCCCCCACTTGTTCACGGGCAAACGTAAACCGTGGAGGGGCATCCTGCTTTTCGGACCCCCCGGTACGGGAAAGTCTTATCTAGCCAAGGCGGTGGCCACCGAAGCGAACAACTCGACGTTTTTTTCGGTTTCATCGTCCCACCTGGTCTCAAAGTGGCTCGGCGAAAGCGAAAAGCTGGTGCGCAATCTCTTCGAGATGGCGCGCAACCAGAAGCCGAGCATCATCTTCATCGACGAGATCGACTCCCTCTGCAGCACCCGGTCCGACAACGAGAATGACGCCACTCGACGTATCAAAACGGAATTCCTGGTGCAGATGCAGGGTGTCGGCAACGACACCGAGGGCATTCTCGTGCTGGGCGCCACCAACATCCCGTGGGTTCTGGACTCGGCCATTCGGAGGCGTTTTGAGAAGCGTATCTACATTCCCCTGCCGGATGAGCCTGCCAGATTGCACATGTTTAAGGTAAGCGTATGCGATAGCACTTTTAGACTGTGATGTATGATAAGTATAAGGCTGCACCTGACGAATTCACGTTGGCGTTGCCACCACAATCAACACAGACGTAACTGTTGGAATCAAACATCGTCACTCGAATGTCACACAACGCCTTTCACTAGGTAAATTGGCTATAAATGTTCTAGCTAATGCCATGAAGCATGAGAGCTGGTGTAGTAGTTGGTCACGGGAGTGAATTTGGTTTGATAGGTTCATTCATTGAAAAGCATAACACTTACGACCACTGTTAAACTCTGACTGATTGCTGAGTGAATCATTTAAACCACACAGTATCTAAAGCTACACTTCATTAGCACTAGCATTTAACAGGAATGCGAGTTTCAGCAACATTTTGGTCAAGGAAAGAAGAGTTGTAGCTAAACAGTGTCATACCTCACTGCTTTTTATCACTCGTGTCACCTTATGTGATGAAAGGAGCATGGTCTGATCACCTTTGCTTGTTACCATGCAACGGCCGGTCTCTGCACTCATTATGCGCTACCTAGCATATTTCTGTGAAATTTGAGTGCAGTTCCATGATATATGATGCTAGTATTACGTAGCAGTTTTTCTTTACTACTGTTTGTACAACTCTGTCATCATGGTCTTCCTTCTGTGCAGCTGCACATTGGGAACACGCCTCATACTTTGTCAGAAGACGACTTTAAGCAGCTGGCCAAACGCAGCGATGGTTTCAGCGGAGCCGACATCTCAGTGCTCGTGCGTGACGCCCTCATGCAACCTGTACGCAAAGTACAGACAGCAACCCACTTCAGGAGGGTACGAGGGCCCTCTCGCAGTGACCCCAACGTCATTGTGGACGACCTTTTAACACCTTGCTCTCCTGGTAGCCCCGGCGCCATCGAAATGTCTTGGATGGACGTGCCGGGAGAAAAGCTGCTCGAGCCTACGGTAACTATGAGCGACATGTTGTTGTCCCTCTCAACTGCCAAGCCGACCGTCAACGATGCCGACCTTGGAAAGTTGAAGAAGTTCATGGATGACTTTGGCCAGGAAGGCTAAAGCAAAGAGAAGCATTGGGAGGCAGTGTGAAAATGACTCGCCGTCTTGGCGACCGAAGCTTTTCTGGTCATGGCTCGGACCTCTTCGGTCCCTGGCATCTGACTACTTGCAATGCACGAGTGACGACAGAAGCCTCGGATGTGAAGAGCAGAGGGGTGAAGACTCAGGAAACTGGCCAGTGTTAGACAACCATCTGGAGGACTCCAGCATTGCAAGGGCTGTGTCTCAGAGTGTGCATCCATCGCCATGGCCGCAAAAGCTTTTATCTGCCATTGGCTTCTTGGCAAAGAGCTTGGCATCAGAAAGTGTTCGAGCTAGTGTGCACCATGTTTCATCCCACCCCTTCTTCTTAAATATAATAATGGCTGTGCTTGTAGAACAAGACTTGTCACTTTTGGCCTAGAAGAAAAAAGAATGCTCTGTTTCAATCCGGCACTAAAGTTTAGGAAGCTGCAGGTTGTGCACAGTGACTTATCAGAGCCATTTTTGCTAGGCAGAAAGTTTCAAGTTTGGATTTTATGCACACCATTCTTTTGTTTTTGGCAGGCCATATGCTCTAGCAGTGTTCTTACCCACAATGCTCTTAACACGCTACACGTTTGTTAAGCTTATCACGTGCTAAAAGGCGCTGTAAGGTATAAGTGTTTGTGTGAGCGACATTGAGTCTTTTGGATGTCCCTATGATGTAAGAATGACAGCAAAATTAAGTCTGGTTTTTATGCAAGCTATATTATAGTCGGCTTCTCCAGAAGAAAAAAAGCTCAGTGCCTAAACAGGTGGCATACAAAATGGTTCGAAGCCATCAGCTAAGTAGACCGCTTCAGCTCTGGCTGCTTTCTTAAGAGTGGAAACTTAGTGACTGCTTCACTAGTGTACGCTATGAAAACGGCAAGGCTGTGGGTTGTGCGACGTGTTGCTAACTGCTGGTGACGATTATTGTTCCAGGCAGTCCTGAAGCACTCTGCAAAGTCTATTGATAGCTTGTTGTTGTTATGGCCTCAATCATCATTCTTGCAATGTTTTAGATATTCATATTTTTCTGAAAAGCTTTAAAACATGCCCCTTGACACATGTCCGGCACCGTGTGAAAAATTGTAGTTCCCTTGGAGACTGTGCCCTTCGCTGAAGATACACTGAGAATTGTTTTATTTTTTCCTGTTTTTGTGAATTGCGATTAACAAGAAAGAAATAACTGTTAGGCAAAGCTCTATTGTCAGTTTTGTATGTAAAATATGTCACATTTCATTTGAATGTTTGAATTTGGGAAGTGGTTGGATAAGCTTCTTGAGACAAGAAAGTACAATAAACTTTAAACACAACGGAAGGCTTGTTTTTGAGCTAAATGGGGATCTATGACAGACACAGTGTGCCAGTGTCATCAAACACCAGCGTGCAGGATTGCATCGAATAACAACGTAAGCCACGGACACAACAGGACCACAAATCATTAGTCGATGCTTTATTTCGGCGAACATAACAGTTAAAAGAAGACAGTTATTTTTATTTTCCATTCTCAATACGAGGAGACTATCGACTTTGTACAAAAAAAAATAGTATTAGCAGCAGATAAATTAACACATTTATGAAGAGTAGCCCGATGAATGTTTGCAATGAAAGATAACTCTCATTGAATTAAGTCCAGGTAATTAGTTTCACAGAGGTATCTCGATGAGAAAGAGTGTACGAGAAGATCAGTACTATTACTGTATGGTACATTTTGTGAGGGATTATGGTACAGTGGCAACAATTCGTCTTATATGTACAAAACTTGGCACAAGAAAAGACTTCTTGAAAATGGCTGCTTTAGCGTGTGAAGGTGCCATGAGTCACTTTTTTTGTCTTAACGCTACACTGTGTTTCATGTCATGCAGTAATACCCGTCTTTCGAAAATGCAAAGAGTGAGCTTATTAAAAATGTGGTATATGTAGGAATTTCATGGTTAATGCTGGTTCTTCAAAAACATTTTTTGGTAAAAAAAAAAAAGAAAGCAGAGGTAAGGATGTAATTGGATCACATATCACATAATCTGGCACACGATCTCACATTTAACGAACTCAGACACGCAAAAAAAGAAAAAAATTGACACAGGAAACCGGCATGCATGCATGCATACGAGGCTCCAAATTTTTTAAATATAACTTCCATCATGGCCATACACCTTCAAGTGTACAAAAAAAAAAAAACTTTACAAGCCATCACATCTAATACACAACTTAACAAACAACGACATGTATATAAAAAAAAATATTTGTTAAAAAACAGCCCTGAGTTTTGAAACACGTCCGCCTTGGCAAAAAAACGCCTCTTAATTTTGAGACCAACATCCCCGCCTGGGCAAAAATGAACTTTCCGGAATGACAGTCAGTCAAAAGACACACCCGCCAAGAGGGACCCCGCTCTCAAGGTAAAGGCTTGAGAGTTGGGAAGATGAGTGTTTATTTTCTTTATTTTTTTTTCCTTTCTGAGGAAGAGATAGCATAAACAGCTTATCTCCAAATGCATTTGTTATGGCAAAGGAACCTTTATGAAATGCTGTGTTAGACAAAATGATATGCCCAGGTAGCAGAGCTGCATTGGAGGAGGCCAACTGGGTCGATGGAGCAGTACCGAGAATGGTACCAATAAATAAATTGGTCTGGAGCAGGTGCAGGGGTTCGGGTCTGCCCCTAATACTGCAAACTCCTAATAGATGTCAAAACTGGTTTGAAGGCAGTTAACGAGCATTTGCTCACTTACTCCCTTCATGCTGCAGGGACAAATATTTCAATAACAGCCGAATTGCATCAAGAAAAACTTTTGATTGGAGAGGTGAGTTCCTTCTTCACACCTCGGCCACCTTTTCAGTACCACCAACATTGCCTTGCTTGCTACCTGGGCAAAACACGACCCACCACATTCCAACCTCAATCCTGGCAGACGCACATGTCGTCTGTCGCGATACGAACAGCTTCAGCATGCCACAAAAATACTGTAGTAAGAAAATCGCCTTCCAAGTAGGACACAAAAAAAGTTCTCGAGGCATTGAAAGTCCGAGGAAGTGCTGCGTAGTTTATAATAGAGTGAGCGGCTCTGCTTGGCTGTCTGCCTGTGCACTGCGGAGTGCATTGTCCCTTGCTCCACGAAGCCTTTTCTTTTCTTCCCCTAAATACCAACTGCATTCAACACATTATTAGGATGATGTGTGTAAGAAAGGAACTTGGGTGCACGACAGCACAATCTGTCACGCCACTATGGCCAGGTCGGCTTCGTCTTCCGAGCTGCTGCGAGTTCTGACTGTCTGGTACTTGTCGGGCAAGAGCATGTCTTCTTCGTCGGACACTTCGTACCTGCGAGAAAAGCAATTGCAAGGCCATTAAGAGGGATGCCGCCGCATATTTCAATTTGCAATTAAATTAGGTTTATTGGTGACAAGTAGCAATTGGGAAGGAATACTACAGATGCCAAAGGCGGGCGGCAAAAACTGACACAAGACTCACAGTCCTAGCACCAACAGCTCACGCTGAGTTCTCTCGGCTAAGGTAGCGGCCCACTGGCATTTGTCTTCTTTCTCTCTACAGTAAAAACACTGTAGCGCATTTCTCAAACACAGCAGGATCACACTTGGCAATCGATGAGAAGGAAAAGGAATGAAAGGTCAATCAGATACGCATCCAGTTTGCTACCCTTTACTGAGGGTATGGGGAAGCACGTGCGCCATGGTTCCTTTCCCTTTTACGGCAGCCTAGCAGCGAGGACATGTCTGTTCTTCGAGAAACAAGACAAGCCTCTTTCAAAGGTACCGGTCACCCACCCAGCGGCTGGCGCACGCTATTCCCCTTTCTTGGCTCGTGAAAAGAGTTACCCTCCCTCAGCTATGGAACCAACCATCGTTGGGGAGAGGGAAACTGGTCAAAATGAGCGTGCCAACAGCGTGATGGTCACTTGCGCTGTCCACCAAACGGAGAACAACCCCCGGATACCCCCTGCAAAGCCAAGGAGATCGACAACCCAAGCATCTACCCTTTTATTATCTCCCTAGAGGGGACAGTCCCTCTACGCAACATTTATGCATTATTGCTAATGTAGCAATAAAGTGTTGTTTTGTTGTCCTAGCCTGTTGCCTTATTCGGCACAATCTGTGTAGCTCTGATGACTTGAGCTACGGGAAGTGGACGTTAACCGTGCATGGTACGACTGTGTGCGGCTGAAATATTAGCTAGGCTTCTGCATCAGCTGTGCGGGGGAAGGGGTGAAGGTACCGAAAGAAAGAAGGACGAGGGAAGAAAGCACTGTCTAGGTACACGTCGGCCTGTCCATTGCACACCTACAAGCGGGCAATTGATGAAGGTTGAAAAAGACTCAGGCCTGCATGGTAGTACACTGCAGCACAGTTGCAGTGTAAGCCAAACCTTGTGAAAGCATGTTGAAAACTATTGGATAACCTACAGCAAGTACAGTTGTGAAGTACCCTTCATGCCAGAATACATTATTATCAAGTTTTGAAGTATCCACTATGCGCCTGCAAGGTAACGTGCGCACTGCACACTTTGTTAACGCTGTGGCTGATGAATCATCGGGCAGCTTTAAACCACTAAGTTGTTATACAATTCACATGGTGTTACTACCTGGTGCAGTTTAATTTTATGCTTCTGCTATGCAATATTTGCACAGAGCCTAATTTGACCTTCTTCTTTGTCTCGAAGTAGTTTCAAGCAGTGGCGTGGCTTGGTGGTATAATACTTGGCTACCAGTGAGGAAAAAAAAATCTAGGGTTGAGTCAGAACCAAGGTTTTGTTGTGGTTGAAACTTCTTTTTTTTTCCTTCTCTCATTGTGCACGATAGCTGTGACGAATACCGGTGGCCATCATAGACACCACCACCAATATCGGATCCTAGCAGCTTACACTGTTAAACTTGAGGAAATACTTGAATGCGATACTAATGTTGGCCATAATGTGCCACTCTAAGGAATGGATCACAGGCATTATTATGACACAAAGACAAGAAGCAAAGTTTGTATAAGTACAGCAATAAGGTTTGGCAAGATTATGCAGAGTGAGAAAAAGTCGAAAAAAGTGTGGTGCGCATTTTCTTGTTCAGTACATATGCCCATGGCCCAATTCTTGGCCAACCACGAAGGTTGGTTGATGCCATGAACCTTTAGGAGCAGTATTATTTCTCCTGGATGTACTGACACACAACACCTTTAGCAATCTCATGATCATACTGTCTTGCATTTGCTTCCCAATATCATGGTAATAATTGTTAGTTAATTGTCTAAGGTTGCTCTCATTGTTGCTCCAACATTTGGTTGCCATTTAGAGTAACAGAAATGGATGCCAAAAAATAGGAGACACAGCTGAGGATAGTAGCAAGTTGGGTGAATTGTCTAAATTTGGTTGGCAGGCATAAAATGGGGTCAACTTGCACACAATAGAATATGGCCACTTCTCATGGTAAAAACAATTTTTGGATTAGCTGCTTGGCTAAGTTATGCTGCAATAATGTCAATTTTCAATGAGAACTATGAACACAGGGGCGCATGTAATATTGTTAAATGATTTTAGTCACTGTGTTGCCGATGACTGCATAGGAGCGGCAACATGGAACAAGGAGAGGAGAAAGAAGTGAGGCACGAGCAGTAGAATGAACGTGGAGAACTTCGACTCGGGTCTTTATTAAACGGCATTTTTTCTGGTGCCGAAATATCCCAGTCGCGCCCTCTTAAGACTTCTTGCTCCGATGGCATCGATCGAGCGGCTGAGCGAGAACCTAGGCGGCGTCAAGGCCAGCGTCAAGCGAAGGATTACACTCCTGACCGGTGAGCTGCAGGCCTCTGTTGCCGATGCCACTCAAGTGGAATGCCACGTTGCCTACCTGATGCAAAGGAATGTCGAGCTCGCCAGCCTGAACAAGGAAATCTTTGATTCAACTGATAATGACACCTTCGGGGAAGCACTCAAGGCCATGGAAGAGTACGAGCCATGTTCCGAGCACGGTTTTTTTCTTCGAGAAATTGCAAGCAAAGCAGCAGCAACGAGAAATGTGAGGTCAGAGGCTAGATCACCAAACGCTGACGCCGGTGGTGCCGGCACTTTACCTAGTCCACAACGAGGTTAGTGGTTCTTCACCTTGGGGAACGGATGTGACGCCCAGTCAAGGAACCGTGCACGTCATCGCACTGTGGTCCTGCCGAAAGTACTGATCCATATGTTTTCAGGCGTACTTCGCGATTGGCAGTCCTTCTGGGATCACTTTAGTGCTACCATACACCTTAACAAAGACCTTCCACAGATTGAGAAGTTAATATACCTGCAGTCGTATTAGTGGGGTGCAGCCAAGAAAGCTATTGAGAGCATTCAACTAACAGATACACCATAGCGATCAAGACCCTAATGGAGCGATTTGGTCGACGCGACTTCCTCATTAATGAGCACGTTGATCATTTCCTCGCCTCAACACCGGTCAAGTCTTCAGCCGATGTTGAGAACCTTCGGCTGCTCTACGACCAGGTCCGCTTTCGAGTCTCCGCACTGACTGGCTTGGGCGTCTCACCTGACCAATATGACGTTGTCCTCAACGACGTGCTATTGAAGTGCCTGCCTGTCGACCTTGCGATATTCTACCGCCGGAAGGTGAAGGAAGCGCTACACGATATGTCTGCCATCACGACCCCTGACGAGAGAGCTCGCAAGGCTGCAGAAATACGTTCCTGCGCATCCAGATTGAAATTAGAGAGGAAGGCAGGTTAGGATGAACAGCGTCAGCTTTCTCACGTTTGCTACCTGAAGAAGCCGTTCAACATCTGCCAGAACCAGTGGTACATGTGCCAACGGCGCATGCACTCGCTGGCGAGTCTGTTGCAGTTACGGCGGAAGCGTTCCTTTTATGCAACGACTCTCGTCACACCATCGCAGAGTGCAACATTCAGCTCTCTGCAGACCGTGCTCGATGCTGCTACAGCTGTGGCAGAAGAAACCACATGTCACAGTTTTGTTGACATGCGTGCAGCATAAAGAGTACAAGTGCCAGCATAGACATTTAACAATCCTGTGTGAGCTGTTCCATCTTGCTGCACCAACTCGTACCAATGCGACGACAGTGAATCAAAACGAGCCTCGTATAACGAGTCAAGCCGTGAACACGCTTCTAGTGACATCTGCCCCAAGCGCCCTGAGCGGAAGCAATGCAGTCCAGCTGCCCTGCCACAGTGGTCTAGTGGCTAAGGTACTCGGGTGCTGACCCCACAGGTCGTGGGATCGAATCTCGGCTGCCACGGCTGGATTTTCGATGGAGGCGAAAATGCAGTAGGCTCGTGTGCTCAGATTTGGGTGCACGATAAAGAACCCCAAATGGTCGAAATTTCCGGAGTCTTCCACTATAGTGTCTCTCATAATCATATGCCGGATTTGAGATGTTAAACCCCACATATCAATCAATTAATGCTGTCCAGATGCAAACAGGACAAGTGTGGACTGAGTGCACGTTGCGAAGGCGTCTCGCGCACATTCTTTTCGACAGTAATAGCCAGTGTTCGTCATCAGAGCGAACCTCTCAAGGTACCGATGCCCGGTCATCGAAACCGCAAAACTTCTTTTGGTTATATTTGGCCACTCGAAGCCCTGCAAAGTAATGTGCACTTGAAGGATTCACTATCAGAGGCCAACGTAGGGACACAGTGGTAACCGTCGCCTTGGAGGTACCTGAAATGTGTAAGACCACAAGCCCGCCGATTAACAGTACAGTCCTGGGGCTTCTGCGCGAGAACTCTGACGTTGCTAACAACTGTCATCCCCACACATAACGCCCTGAAGAAATAAGTGTGCAACTTTAGTCCAATGTCTACTGGAAGGTACCAACTGGAAGGATAAATTGCTTGTGCAGTGATCCAACAGCCATGCAAACGAAGTTTGGATGGATAGTTCAGGGAACAATAGAAGCAGCAGAAAGTTCACATACTAGCGTTCACATTCCTGAGCTGAGCTTCTCTTCCTGACTACGATGCGGCGTTTGAACTTCGCAGTCGAACCATCTACTGAGAAAAAGGACCAGGCTTCGGTGGAACTTCAAACATTCGAATGGGGCGTCATTAAGTTAGATGGGTGCCATATGGTTCCGCTTAAAACAGAAGTTTCAGGGATACTTTCAGGCAGCGAAAACCGAAGATCAGCCATGCGCTGCCTGCAAGTGCAATCTAATTGATCGAAAGAACTGCCCGAAGTTTTCAGGCAGCATGGCAATGAAATCACAGTCGGTGTCAAGGAAGAACAGGCAAAGCAAGTTAAAGAACCAAGGCCACAGGGGAATGTTTATTATATCCCTCATCAGGCAGTCATCCGCCAATATG